AGAGAAGTGGGGAGAGGGGGAGAGGAGTGGGAAGAGGGGGGGAAATGGGAGGCTGGGAGGAGGTGGGAATTTCTTTTTTTTTTCTTTCAATAAAAAAAAAATCAGATACCAGAAGCCAGTCCACACTTACAAACTGTCATCTTTCAGGGAAGGCACCATAACAATTCAGATATAAAAAGCCTTATCTCACACTAGACAGTAGCTCAATAGGCAGTGGCCACTGACGATTCAGGGTGGGGCCTAGTGGAACTCCATGGGAGTGAGAGGTCAACATCTAACAGTGGCTGGAACAGAGGCTGCAGACCAGCACCAGGGCGCAGATCAGATCTGACTGAGGGTCATTTCCTCGGCCATGCAGAGAATTCTATAATCCACACAGGGGCGAGAAACTGCCTAGGACCCAGGGTAAGGTTTACAGGTCACACGGAGTTCCACATCTGGAGCAAGCTACAAACCCAGGCAGGAGGCCCAAGTTGACCTAGGCTATTCTTTCGACTGTCAAAGGAAAACTCTGGCCCTAAATACCAGTTCCACAGAAGAAAATGACACTTCAATTTTACTATAACTTAGTCCTTCCTGGACACTGTTAATTCTTCCACTGAAAGAAGAAGGGGCTTCAAATTTAAGAAAAAAAATTGTGCAATGATAGGGTTTCTGACCATCATCATTTATGTGAATATTTCTGGAAGAACTGCAAAGTGCAATGGAGCTTATGAATGAATGATAACAAATATTAAAACATAGTAGAAGCATCAGCTATTATTCAGGATGTAACCACAATTAATATCTCAAGTTAAAAAATTAGGAAATTTTTTTGAGAAGTAGTAGCAAGTTTAACCTAATCAACAATTATACAAAATAATGATAATTTAAATTAAAGGTAATAATACAAAACAATCATTAGTAAGAAAAGCATCATTATAATCAAAATAAACATCAGCTAGAAAAACAATGAACTCTATTTGCACGGCTGGATAGTGGTGATGCACACCTTTAATTTAATTTAATTCCCACATTCAGAAGGCAAAGGCAGATGGAGGCCTGTGAGTTCAACACCAGGCTGGTCTACAGAGTTACAAGCCAGCCAGAGCTAACCAGAGAAACCCTCTCTTAAAAAAACAGAAACAAAACCAAAATCCCTGAAGCTATGAAATACCCAGAAAGAATTTCCCAATAAAATGCATATTAAGGACCACACACACACACACAAGTATGGTCTCCTTTACTCCCTACTTGAAAGGAAGAGGCAGGCAGATCTCTGGGTTTGAGTCCATCCTGCTCTGCATAGTGAGTTCCAGGACAGCCAGAGCTATATAGTGATCAACTCTGTTTTGAAAAACCGCAGATTAGATAGATAGATAGATAGATAGATAGATAGATAGATAGATAGATATAAAATAAAAGAGAGACTGTCCATCTCTTTTTAGTGAGAAGACATACTAAGATACTAATTCTTGGAAAACTAAAATTTAATTAACAATCCTAATTTCTATTTAAATATAACACTATTAAATATCAAATGTAGAATACAGGGTACAGAAATGAAATCTAAATAAACACCACTATTATGGTTTAGGTCACTCAGTCACAAGAAGACAGTGTTCAAATATTTGCTGTTCTCATGGACATCAGCCAGGAGTGAAATCAGTTTCTTCACACATGTCCATTGGGATCTCAGTTGCCAGGAACTCAACTTCAGAAGACCCTTGTTACACTCAGTGACATAAATTCAAGTGCCTTAGTCAACCACACTTGCTTGCTGGGCCACTTCTAGAGGAACTGTAGAGTAGCCCACAAATGTTTAACCTCTCCAAGGTCAATCCACACCTAGAAGTGGCTCCAGCCATTGGTATCTTGCTTCTACTTTGGCCTTTGGAACTTGTCTGCGCCTGTACCTCATTTTCCAGCCTATTTCCTGTACTTCCTTAGTGCAGCTGTTTATTTATCATCAAGACAAGATGTTGTAGAACCATCAGACACCCCACCATTTCTCCCTTCGCAATTAACAGACCCTGTAGGACTCCATGACTGACCTCTGTCACCACCTCGCCGGGTGCACAGTCTATTCTTTCTGACTCAGCAATGTTTGGACAATCTGGAGTAAATGAACCTGTAAAGAAAGTAGAGACCAAAGTTAATACTTATGTGTAATCACATGTACAGATTCTAGGTCTGTTTTCCAATCAAATCACGGGTAGCTGATACCAATATTTATACATGATGTTCACTTCAAACATTAAATTGCTTCTTTATTTAAATTAGTTGGTTGACTTTTTAAGACATATAATCCTCTTACCATACGTTCAACCCCATAAAATATTCAATTCTATATGTGCTACCTAGTTTTTTATGTCAATTTGACACAGACTGGAGTGACCTCAATTGAGAAAATGTTGCAAGAAAGACCTATGAGCACGTCCGTAGTTCATTTTCTCAATTACTGGTTGATGTGGAAGGGCCCAGAGAATTGTGGGTTAGTGCCACCCCTGGGCTTGTGCTTCTGGGTGCTGTAAGAAAGCAGGCTGAGCAAGCCATGAGGAGCAAGCCAGTAAGTCACACCTTCTCGTTGCTTCTGTGTCACCTCCTGCTTCCAGGTTCCTGCCCTGCTTGAGTTCCTGTCCTGACTTCTTTCAGTGATGGACGGTTATCTAGAAGTTTAAACCGAAACAGCCCCTCTTCTCCTGAAGTTGGTTTTGATGTCATGATCTTTATCACAGCAATAGAAGCTTAAACACTATGGTTTTCATTAGTTTTTACAAACTAGGGAAAGCGTTAACTACCAATAACCCTACAACACTTTCATCAAACCAGAAGAAATCACATCATTACCAGTGGTCTCTTTCTAGTCGCCTCTTCCTCGGGTCTCAGGAATATTCATCTGTTTTCTGTCCCCATGTATTTGTCTATTCTGGTTATTTTCTGTATAATGGAAGCATTCTGTGCCTACTTCCCCTCTCCACACTGGGATTTTTGTCTAACTTGGGCATACATGAGTCTTGTGCATGCTCTTAGAACACTCTAAGTTCATATGTGCAACCGCCATGTTGTGCCCTGAACTGACTGTGTCTTTGGAGTCTCTGGCTCTATTACAATCTTTCTACCTCCTGTTTCTCAGAATTGTCTGAGTTTTGGTGAGAAGACTAAAGGGGGGTATGTTCACCCCACTTTGGGCCGAGAACTCTACAACCTCTTACTCTCTCTACACCGACCGGTTGAGGGTCTCTGTGTTAATTGCCATCTACTGCAGGAAGAACCTTCTCTAATGAAGGCTCAGTAAAGCACTGGTCTATGGGCACAGCGAGGAGTCGTTAGGAGCCATGTTAATAACCACATCCACTTAGAAGAGCAACAATATTAGATGAGTTGTAGTATTTTCCATGCATCCTAGATATTAAGTAGCATAATCTGTGTCATTTGAAAATGTTAATGTATTTCCTGTGGCCTATGCTTTTCTCAGCTAGATAATGTCATTTAAATGCCAACAATTTTCAGTTTTATTTCATTCCAATCTGGCTGTCCCTCCCCCCTCCTCTTTGGTTTCTGTGCTTGAGTGTCAGTTAAAAAACTGTTACCTATTGAGAGGGAGGGGGAGAGGAGTGGGGGAGGGGGAGGAGAGTGGGGGGAGGGGGAGAAAGGTGGAAGGAGGGGGAGGGAAATGGGAGGCTAGGAGGAGACAGAAACTTTTTTTTCCTTTTCTCAATAAAAAAAAATAGAAACAAAAAAAACCTGTTACCTAATCTGAGGTCTTGAATATTCTTATCTATGCATCGTTTGTTAAAGATTCATGATTTGAAGCCTTTAATTTAGATCTTGATCTATTTTTAATTAATTTCCACATAAATTGCCAGGTAGAAACCCAGTATCATTTTTCTACTGCATGGGTATATCCAGTTGAATTAATCAGTTGATTTTTGATGTATTTGTTTATGTTTGGGTTGTTTGTCTCTCTATTTGTCTGATTGTTTGATTTCAACAGATTTTCACTTTGATCCAGAACTCATTATGTAGCCCATTTGGCCTTGAATTCATGGTAACCTTCTGCATTAGCCTCCAAGTATGATTCTAAGAATTAGTCACCATACGGGGCTTTTACTTTGACTTCATTCCACCCATTTCAATGGACTGTGGTACAGAACAGAAGGTATTTCTGATATTCCTTTAGATGTATACTTTCCCTCAAATTTAGTATTATTGTCTTAGTCTTTCAGAACTTAATTGAGCCGTCTTCCACTTAAGAATAACAGAGTATGATGAAGTCAGAGGCTTCATGAGTGATCCAAACCAGGATTTCACCCAGTCCCAGGCAGCAATTCCTGTGGGTATAACAGGAACTCTCCAGTGCCTTTGACCCTTATATATCTCTACTATCCTATGGCTCTGGGGAGGGGTAGTGAAAACTGGATTGATGATTTATTTAAGCATGAAATCTGAAACTACAAAATTCCTGAAAGAAAATCTGGAAATAATGTCATAATTGACTTTGCAAAGAAGCATAGGCAACAAAAGCAAAATTAGACAAATGAGACCATACAAAATCCAAAGTCGCTGAGAGGAAACTATCAACTAAGGGAAACAGCAACAAAGAGAGAGTGATGTCAGCCAGATGTCCGATAAGAAATTAGTTTCCAAAGTCTACAAGGAATCGCCCAAAATGACTACCTTGCTTTACAATTGGATAAATAAACTAATTAGTATTTCTCTAAAGAAAACCTACTAGTGGTCAAAAGATGCAAAGGAAAGCTGAACATCACTGGTCACCAAGGACTTGAAAATCAAAACCATTGTATCATCAGAGCAAAGGTACCATCGCCCGTGAGTTCAGATGGTTATGACCAAACCAAAGACAGGATGGCTGCTGGTGAGGATGTGAGAAACTAGAATCCTTTTGTACTACTGATAAGGAATTAAAACCAAACCTACTGCGTTCTCCTTTAATACCACTTCTGAAAACTTAGAGGTTTAGGTTTTAAAGAGATATTACACTTGCACAGTAACTGTGGCACGATTCACAGTGCCAAGATGTGCAGACATCCTCAATGTCCATTGAAGGCTGAATGGACAAAGAATATGGGTATTAAAAAGAGTAAATATATGCAGTCTCGGGGAAAAGGAAGAAGTCCTGCAACATGCAAAAACATTTCTTTTTTCAACCCATGGGTACACAGCTTCAAAAATAATGAGGAAAAAGTCAGTTGTGTAAAACCAACTAACTGCTCTGGATGGATCAGAGAGGGTTTTAACATGAATGAACACATGAAATTTAATTTTATGCTAAGTAAGGGAAGAGACACATACAATAGGTAGTAATCTCTTTTCTTATTTAAAAATGTCTTAGGGAAGAAGTAGAAACAGGCTCAAAATAGGAAGGTGGGGAGGGTACTGAGGGGAGTGGAAGAGACTAAGGGGAGGCTGTAGTCATGATGAATTACTGGAGAGAAGAATAAGTCAAAAGAGAAACAGGGTGGTGTAAGAAAGAGAGAAGAGTGAGGACAACGCACAGGCAAGATCCTGCAATCAGCAGAGCTCATCTTCATTGTGTGTCTCATCTACAGCAGTGAAGAACTTTATCAAACAGAACTCCAAACTTCAAATTTAATTAACATAAATTTTTATTTTATGTTGTCATTGTTGCTTTTGGGGGTGGTATGGGATCTCATATTACAGACTAGCCTATATAACTCACTACTATGTAACCCACTGCAGTAAACAAAAACAAAAAAAATGCATGCCACTTTTACCTCAGCTTCCTGAGAAAAGCAATTATTTATATTATACATGTTGTTATGTGTGTTATTTTATTATTTAAAATATAACGTTTGCATTGATGAGACGTTACTTTGATGCTCCTCTGTGTGTGCATGCCATCATGAGTGTGTGGGTGAGGAAGACAGGAAGAGAAAGGGAGGGGGCGGTTTCAAAGGCGGCATCTGGGAAGAAAGAAAGGGAGGGGGCGGTTTCAAAGGCGGCATCTTTGAAGATATCACAACTGTTTCAGTCTCGTTATCCGTTAGAGGCTAACGTTAGTTAAAGCACAAAGGCTGGCTTCATTGGCTCTCTACTTCCTCTGAGCCAAAGTCCATTTCCACAGTGATGGAGTTGGCTACTGCTCCTTCCCGCCCAGAGCTCCATTGTATATAATGCAGCATGGGTATCAGGTGAGACTAATTCTAGATTCCATTGACACTGCATTAAATGGGCTCAGAGTGCCTAGAATATCATTTACATCCGAAGTTAAGTTGCAAAAACAGAAGACTTATCTTGAAGAATGATTTAAACTAATCATAGAGACAGATTTTAAATAGCTTGATATGGGATGGTGAGGAATGAATAAAATGGTATCTCTGGCATCCAGAGAGGACTTGCTTTGCCCATCCTCCAAGCGTAGCACCCACCATTGTCCTTACCTGGAGAATCCTCCAGCACAAGAAGCAACAAAAGGATATCTACTGCCAATACAACTATATTGAAAATGATCAGAAGGACTTCCAATATACTGAGCTTTCTCGCCATCTAGACAGAAACAGAAAATCAGGTTAAAGTAAACCACGTCAGAGCAGGCAGTAATGGTCAGCATGGAAGACTGGAGATACAGCCTGGTCAGGAAAGTACTTGGTTCAAAATACAAGGCCCTAAGTTTGGAACTCCATCTCGGCATGCAACGGAGGCAGAGACAGAAAGGTCCTGAGCTCTACTGGGTAGCTAGTTTAGCTGAATCTTTCAGCTAGGGTTCAACAAGAGAAACTATTTCAAAAAACACAATGGAGAACAATAAAGAAGGACACCTATTTTTTTTGTTTTTGGCCTCTACATGCACATGCTCAAATATTCATGTTCACCTCTATCCATCCATGCACATACACTACACAGACACACATGTAAACAGAGATACATACACAGAAGTCAACTTGTTCACAGAACAGACTTGATTAGAAGCTTTTCTCTTTACATAAACTAGGAAAAATGCTTCTATAAACATATGTGTCCCTGGTGCATATGTGTAGGCCATCAGATACTTTGTAAGAATCTGTTCTCTACTTCCACCATGCGAGTGACGGGATTGAACTTGAGTCATTCAGATGTAAGTGCCAGTGCATGCTAAACCAACTCACCATCCCCAATCACCCCAACATGAGCTGTTTCCCAAGGAAAAAATAAATAAAACACAAAGAAAAAAGAGAGAGGGAGAGAACAAATATACTCATGATGGAGGGCTGAGAGCCTGAGATGGTTCATAAAGACCTCTTCATTGTTACCTTGACCCTAACACTCACCCTGTGTAGAAGGAAACAAGGTACAAATAGGGAGGAAAGAATCAAGAAAGAATGAGTCCACGTCTCCTTCCAATTCCTGTGCGTTGGTGCTGAGGTGCACACTGAAACACTGAACCTATAAGAATCAGATAACATGATCCCAAAAGAAGGTTTCTGGTCATATTGGTAGCACACAAACACATGTGCATTTGGTGGCTTTCCATGCTTTGACCTAAGTGCAGGGTTGGACAATGTGTGAACTGGGATCAAGAACTTGAATTACGTTCCTGGTTTTCTAACAGAGGGGTGGCTTATCTGATTGGGTCTGTGTCTCCTCATCTACAAACTCCAGATCAGACTGTGAACTATATGTCACATTTTTGCCCTCATAATAGCAAATTCAATATCACGATGTGGCACAGCCATATCTGATGGGAATGGCAAAAGCCATAAGGCCAGCAAAGCTACTCGTCAAAGATCCAGCAAAGCTGAGCTACATGATGGCCTCCGTGCCACCTTTGCTTTTTATCGCCACCTGTTGCATACTTAAGAGACTTTTATTATTTGCACAACTTGGCAATATTGGATTGGTTGGAATTTTCTTATGAATCATCTATGCCTTCTTCCAGGAGTACTGCCTCTAGGCTTCCCCAGAAAATCCTGGACCTACTACCCCTCCCGCATTTAGGAAGATATCCTTATCTACTTGAAGGTCTTTCTTATGCCTTAGAGGTTGTGAAACCCATAAAAAAGTCAGAGGTCTCTTTATGAGGCTATGAGATATCCTTGAAACATCTGTCCTTGTACTTACTCAAGAACAAGATAATCAACACAAAGCAATTTAAATGGGTCACCAAGGTTCAGTGGCCTAGAGAAGTTGGCCATAGATCAGATCGCAAGTCTCTTCCCACTATACACCCAGGCGATTACGTGGCGTATACAGCAACAAAGTTAGGTTATCTGAAGTTATCTCTGTCTTACACATGGACGTATATTGATGAGTAAAAAAGGATGTAGAAAGATGATAAAAGAATGAAATGCCAGAACCTTTCCTTCTTGAAAAGGTATCTCATGCAAATCCACTATGGTGTCATATGACCCAAGAAGGAGAGAATGCCCAGATTAGACATATAAGCAAACTCTATAGATATAAAATGTGAACATTGCATTATGCCAGGATTTGAATAATAGCTGCAGCAGCTTTGGCCTGAGGATTCTTCTGGGGCACTCTGACCATTAGGAGTTAGTACTGCATGACTTGGGATGTGGCCATGTGCCCAGGCTGGCTTCCAGACTTTGTTTTAGGCTAGCGTCCTTGTAGTCACCAAAGCTACCAGCCTGAGAACAGGCTGCCATATGTGGCTAGATTTCTAAAAAGTGGATTGTGGGGTTAATGAGTAAGAATAATTATAAAAGATAACTCTATCATTGATGCCAAACTTGAAAGGAAATTGTTTAAAAAGATAACTCTGCCCTATCATAATTCATCAGTGATGACTAAAAGATATGCAAGAGAAAGTGAAACACATGCCCCAGACCAGAAATGATATGATCTGTGTTTTGGAACAACATGAATCTATCCATGCTTACTGAATTCTGTATGACTAAAGAAGCACATCCACTGCTAGTCATTCAGGCTGCAGGAGTCTCCTGATCATCAAGCCCGGCTCATTCCTTTTCTTGCTGACCCCTTACATCCTCTAGGGACCTGTCAGCCACTGGGGCTGGCTCCTGGCAACTATGTACTTTATGGTTCCAAAGCACCTCTCAACCCAAGTCGCTATTATTGTCTACTGTTGGGACAAGGGGTTCCAAAGCACCTCTCAACCCAAGTCGCTATTATTGTCTACTGTTGGGACAAGGGGTGTCTACCTGATCACCCCTTGACTTTCTTTGCCTGCAGCTGCTCTGAGCATGAGACCTTGTCTGCAGCTGCTCTGAGCAGGAGGCCTTGATGGCAGACTGATGAGGCAGGCCTGCAGCTGAAAGATTCCGAGAGCTGGGCGTGGCTAACGATCCCTATATAAACTGCCCCTGAGCACAATAAAGCTTGGCACTTGGCATTCCTGTATCAAAGATGACCTGTGTTCACGTCTCTCTCTGTCTGTCTCTGTCTATGTGTGAATGTTTTTAAGTCTCCAGGCTTAGTACCCAACTTGTGGTCGGTCTTGTAGTGGCACGGGAGCTACAGGACCGTCTCTCTCTCTTCGGGTGTTTACAAGTGCGGGCCCCCCTGGGATCGGGTTTTTGCACATCTACACCTGATCTCTAACTCAGAATTTATCAGCCTCTTGAGTTGCCCCACTTTGTAAGCCCCAAACACTACTCATCTATTGTTCACAAGCTCACTCCCTTTTCTTCTTCTATAATATTTTTTGAAATTAAAATATAAATACATAATTTCCCATTTCTGTGTGTGTTTTATTTATATGTGCATGAGTGTGCACAATACCCACTCCATGTGTATACATGTTGAGGCTAGGTATCAGGTATCTTCCTCTACCATTTGAGACAGGGTCTCTCATTGAACCTGTTCTGGGTAGGCATGTAGGCCAGTAAGCCCTGGGAATCCTCATGTCTCTACCAGTGCTCATTGTGGCTGAGGCTACAGACAGACATGTACATTCAGTCCCAGCTTTTATGTTGTTGCTGGGGTTCAAATCCCAGGTCTTCCTAAATGTGCAGCAAGTCATTTGCCCACTGAGACATCTCCCCAGCCTTTACGTCTTTTTTTCCTCTCTTAAACCTTGTTGTTTTGTTGTTGTTTGTTTTGTGAGCTTTGGAAACTGTCTTTTCATATATGTTCTTTTTGTCGTATGTTATGACTACATTTACAAGGTGAGAATACAGTGATCTGCTCTGAACACCAAGGTCAGCTCCATCTCCTAACCATGTAATAAATACACACATTTCCATATCTGATATGTCTGTAGAAAAGAAGCACGGTCATTCTATCACCCCACAGCCTTATCTGCAGGTCTCAAACAGCAGCTCCGTAACCCTAATGTGCCTAGGAGCTTCTCCAAAGGCATCTACACAAGTCATCAACAACATGACAGAGAAAGGCACAACATATGACACCATGATCCTTACTGCCACATGAAGGAAATGTTCCCCGAACCTCTGGAACCCCAATGAACATGCTGACAGAGTATCTCAGGGGCCAGACAAATGGCCAGAGCCACCAACGTCTTGGCTGTGCTTTAGGCTTGAGGAGTCCTTGAGAACACTGTAAAGTGGGGATGTAGAAGAAACAGGTAAAACACACGCCCCCTTGACTCAGACAGTAAGCCACATACTTTACATGAGCAAAGGTAATAATGTCAGAATTCTGTTTTAAGAGTAAAGGAGGAAATGCAATTTAGGGCGTTTGTCTCCTTTCTTTCAGGGGACTTTGGACAAGTCAGGATCTGGGACAGAAAGAGAGGCCTTTGTATTTCCTCAGTCTTCACGCAGTGCAGTAGTATCCGTTTTGACGACATTGCTAACGTGTGGGAAACCAATGAAATCAAACTCTTTGCGGAGGGCGCATGCTCTTTCAGAAGAACATGGTTCCTGGGGAAAAGAACAGCAGTCAGGATCTGGAGCTCCAAGTGATCAAGGCACAGGTCTGTTCAGAACCAGCTATGGCTTCAGTCTCTGCATTTAGGGCTGGTGCCCACAGAGGAGTCTTATCTACCACAAAGGGTCAACTCTGGAATTAGGCAGGTGAGCTTAGGAACCTCAGCCCTAGCAAGCTGCACTTGGCAGGTCACGAGATGGTAGTTAACCATCTTAACCCAAAACCAGGTAGCTACACGTCCCCAGCAGAGGTGAGTTTATTCATGACACCCTTCAGGGTAGCCTCAATGGGTAGGGTCGCCCACTAAAACCTTGAAGGGGGATGGGAGGCTTCAGTCAACAGAATTCTTAAGAAGAAGCAGGGATCATGTTCAGCTAAACTTTCTAGATTGCTAATAAAAAAAAAGAAATGTAACCATGTTGGAGAATGAATAGTCTGTTTTACCCTGAGTGTCATAGGCAAGTTCCAGGAAAAGCAGAAAAAGAATGAAAAGGGAGATGAAGGGAAAGAGAGAGGGAGGGAGGGAGGGAGGGAGGGAGGGAGGGAGGGAGGGAGGGAGGGAGGGAGGAGAGCAGCAGGGCTAGAGGGGATGAAGGAAGGGCAAAGGCAGAAACTGCCAGGTGGATCAGGAAGTGTACTGAGAGTACTCTTGGGAGGCGTCTCTGGCAGAACAGAGAGGTTCTCTGTCTCTCTCCATC